GGTATTATCACAGAGCAAGAATATCTGTTTGTTAAACACGTGTTTTGTGTATTTGTGTGTGTGTATGTGTGTGTCTTTTCTGTCTCTCTTCACCAACACATACATCCCCAGTGGAAGTCTTGAAAGATCTCGTCGTGGGACCCAGCTGGGACCTAGAGCAGAACCACACCCAGACGCCCAGCAGCTGCTCCAGCCCAAATCCCAGTAACACCGCCAGTAAGAACCCCCTTTTTCTTCTACTATTTCCTCAGCCCACAGCTTCCTCCTGGGTCAGCTTACGGGGTCAGCGCGCCACGGCCAACTCGACCCAGGACAATTCACCCCAGCCAACTTGCCGCGGGACAAAATGTACCTGGGGAAATAGATTCATTAAAGAAAGGATCTCCAAAAACAGGGGGGGGGAGGGCGAAATGAAATGTGAATGACAAAAATTACAATATTTTTTAAAATTATTTTAAAAAATTAAATGAAATAGTTGAATTTTCTCGCGGCAAGTTGTCCCGCAGCGAATTGCCCCATGGCGAATGGGCAGCAGTGAGTTGGCCGTGGCGAGTGGTCTCATTCCATTCCCCTTTATGTCTCCTCACCCTGAGGTTCCCCAACAGAAAGAGGGTCCCTGAAAGTTCACTGTAGGCTGCCGGTGCACACCGGCAGTACTGTGATCAGAGGCTTTGTGCTAGGCCTGGGGTAGGCAACCTTGGCTCTTTTATGACTCGTGGACTTCAACTCCCAGAATTCCTGAGCCAGCCATGCTGGCTCAGGAATTCTGGGAGTTGAAGTCCACAAGTCATGAAGGGGCCAAAGTTTCCCTCATGCTGGCTCAGGAATTCTGGGAGCTGAAGTCCACAAGTCATGAAGGGGCCAAAGTTTCCCTCATGCTGGCTCAGGAATTCTGGGAGCTGAAGTCCACAAGTCATGAGGGGGCCAAAGTTTCCCTCATGCTGGCTCAGGAATTCTGGGAGTTGAAGTCCACGAGTCCTAAAAGAGCCAAGGTGGCCTACCCCCGTGCTAGGTGGCAACCCAGGCACTTGGGTTAATTCTCTGAACTGTGGCTCAGATAACCGTGTTGCTAGAAGTCTTGCGCAAATGACTTTCCTGATTTATTTTCCTTTCTGAGGACGGGTGTGATGGTGGATGGCAGTAGAGGACAACATTGAAATGAAACGGAACGTTCTGGGGAAGATTTCTCTCTTTTCGCTCCTGATTTTAGTGCTCAAATCACTGTTCGAGATATTTTGCATTCCCTTTCTGGAGCTAAAAACCTCTCCCGCTCTCTTCCTACAGACGGGGAGACTGGAAGTACGAACGACGCTCTCGAGTTTGCCAGGGTTGAGGCGGATTCAAACCATCGGGTGAGCTTTGGGGAGCAGCTTCCCCTGTTTCGGTGCTGCAGCCCGGCTTGGCAGCTGCCTTCACCGGGGAGCTGCTGAGTCTGCTGCCCAGAGTTTGGCCACTTTGCGAAGGGACGGAACCTCCCGCTGGCCACGCTTTATCAGCCACGTGCAGAGGGCTGCTTGGGCTTTTCAAGCTTTCCACAAGAAGGCTAATTTAAAAAAAAAAAATCATAGGGAAACTGATTTTATTTATTTATTTATTATTATTATTTGCCCAAGGAGGCTGATGGGAATCTCCACCTCTTGAAATTCCTTTAGAAATGCTTTCTCCCAGTTTGGGTCCAGGGTAGTTGGGGGAAAAAAGGCTTATTGCTAGGAAAATTGGGGGCTTCTGCTAAAGACCACGGTGCTCGTGCAAAACTCAGACGTTCAGCAACCAGTCCTAAGCTTCCAGGTAACCTGTGGCCTGGCTGGGATGACTGGGAAATTGGGGGAGGGGAGGGGATCCTGCAGGAGGGAGGATTGGAGGAACTGGAGAGGAGATCCTCACTCTTCCGGGGGGGGGGGAGGGAAGGGATCTTGGCCGCCCTCCTGCTTTGAGCCGGCCCAGATTCAGATCCCTTGCTGAGCTTTCCGCCAGTTTGGGCATTGCGGCCCCTGACGTGGGTGATGCCTTCCTCCCTTAGGATGGAAATGGCAACCAGTTGCAGCCCAAAGGAGTGCAGGAGGTGAGTCGGAAGCGTGCCTGAGGAGGTGCCGGGAGAGATGCAGAGATGGTGTGGGGCTCCTGCTCTGGCTGGGGTGGGTGGAGGAGGGAGCTTGGCCTGGAAAGGCTGAACGCAGCCTCCTCTCCCCAATCTCCAGGAGATGCTCCAGCGCCTCAAGAGCCTCTATTCTCTACTCCATGGATTGCAGGTTAGACCCTCCGTGAAAGGGTGTTATTAAACGTACGTTAGTAGTTGATGGGACACCGTTAAGATGATGGCTTGCCCTTTAACCCTATCAAAAGCTGCGCCCTGGGCTGACCCGGGGCCCACGGCTCTGCCCTGGTGTTCATGCCAAGCAGAGCAGCTGTCGTGGCTGCCTCTCTCCTACCCAAGCTTCATGAGCTGTCAGCCTGACATTAGTAACGGGGGTGAGTGGGGGGAGGTTGGACCGTAAGGAGGAAAAAGGGGGCCTACCTTCGGGTCGACTCGGTTCCAGTCGGTAGCTATCCGTCTCGACCCTTGGATTTCGTCGGCTGACCTGTAACTGTCTATTTGGTCTCCGGGACGGACGACGGGAGAAGGAGAAAGAAGGAGTCCCGTAGCACCGCGTGGTCCTGAGGGAGGACCGGAAGGTCCGCGGGCTCCGGCACCTTGCGGTCGCCCTTGCCCTGAGCCGCAGCAACTCCTGCAAGGAGGCCCCCCCGGCCGACCAGCAAAGCACGGAGCTCGCCCTCTTGCAGAAGCAGCACGCCCTCTTGCAGCAGGAGCTGAGCCGCTGCCGGCAGCTGGGCCAGGAGAAGGCCCAGGAGGTGGCTGTCCTGGAGGCCCGGCTGCGGGAGAGCGAGGGCGAGAGGCAGCGGCTGGAGCGAGAGGCGGACGAGGCCCGGAGGCAGCTGGCCGCGCCCCGGGTGCCCCTGGAAGCCGTCTGGGTCCGGAAGGGGGCTGAGCCCCGGAGGCGCAGTTTGCCTGCCGGAGATGCTTTGTACCAAAGCTTCACCCCTCCTCCAGTGAGTGCCTCCGGATGGGCGCCAAGGGACTGGTGTCCTCCTGTCCAAGGGGACTGGTGTGGGGGGGGCTCCTGGCGGTATCTGGCCTTTTTCAGCTCCCCCAGGGGTTTCCAAGGGCTAGCCAGGGAGCTGTGGTCTGCTGCAAACTGCACTTTAGCCAGATCCCCCCAATTCGGGCTCTGCCCTAAGGCCCGGCTGTGGCGGTGGTGCTCATTAATTTATTGCGTCTCCATTCTTTTTGCCAGATTCTTCTTAGATCTGGATGCAAAAAAGAGACCTCCCAGAATTCCTGAACCAGCCACGCTGAGGGGAAAGGGAGAGGTTTCCAAGCTGAGCCATGCTGGCTCAGGAATTCTGGAAGTCCCCAAGTCATGAAGGGGCCATAGTTCCCCCATGCTGGCTCAGGAATTCTGGGAGTTGAAGTCCACGAGTCATGAGGGGGCCAAAGTTTCCCTCATGCTGGCTCAGGAATTCTGGGAGTTGAAGTCCGCAACTCATAAAAGAGCCAAGGTTGCCTACCCCTGCAGGCTTTAAGGGAAGCGTTCACTCAATAGTTGACACCGGAAACCCTGGAGCTTCAGTCCATGCAAGGGAAGAGTCTAGAGAAAAGAAGGACTAAGAGTGACAGGATCACAGTATTCCAGTATTTGGGGGGCTGCCACAAAGAAGAGGGGGGGGGGGTGCCAACCTATTCTCCAAAAAACCAGAAGGCAGGACAAGAAGCAATAAATGGAAACTATTCAAGGAGAGAAGCAACCTGGAATTGAGGCGAAATTTCCTTAAACAGTGAGGACAATTAGCCAGTGGAACTACCTGCCTCCAGCATTTTAGCAACTGAACCTGTTCCTTGGGTTGGGGCTTAACTCCGGCTCTCCTTGCCCCTTTTCTTCTCAGCAGCAGAACCGAGGGGGAGAGCCCCTCTCGCCCGGCTGCCATTCCCTGCACCGGACCTTCTCCAGTGGTCAGCGGGAGGAGGCATCCTTCCCGGGCGTCCCTGGCCGACTGCAGGAGGAAGCGGAGGAGCATCTGCAGGTGCTGATGGAGGAGGAGGGCCTGGGCAACTCCCGCTCTCCCCCATCCAGCCCCAGAGGTGAGTTGGAGCTCCCACCACGAGGAGGGCCGGGCCAGCCGCCCTCTTTCGCGGCCAGGTGCAGCCAGCCACGGGTGGCCCTCGGCTTAACAACAGCTCATTCAGTGACAACGAGACCGCAAAAGGAGTCACTTAAGACCATTGCGAGCCTCCCTTATGGTCATTTGATCCAAATTCGGATGCTTGGCAACCCGGTTCATACTTAACGACGGCCGCAGTGTCCCGAGATCATGGGATCCCCTCTGGTGACCTCCTGATAGTCGATGGGAGAGCCAGATTCACTTATCAGCCGGGTTGCTACCTTCACAAATGCAACGATTCCCTTAAGAACTGCGGCAAGGGAGATCGCAAAGTGGGGCAAACTCACTTCACCAACGTTTCACTTAGCAACATAAATTCGGGGCTCAGTTGTGGCTGCAACTGGAGGACGTCCCTGTATCGATATGCTCTGCTGCTGGCACAAGCAGAGAAGCGCCAGGGGGGCAGCCAGGTGCCACTTGGCCCCCTTAGCCCAGGCCCTTGGAGCCTGGCCCTCCCGCCCCTCCCCACCCCCCCAGGTGAGTCCAGCAAGGGGGGTAGAGGGGCTTTGGGTGGTGAGAGGGGTGGTTTATACATTTAATGAATGCATAAAGGGATGTTCCACCTTCGGCACGTGGTGGAAGCCCTCCAGGCTCCATGGAGGCGGTGCTTCCCCCATCCAGGAACGCCTCTCCTCTCGCTGATTTTCAGATTTCCAGAGGATGCAGGACATTCCAGAGGAGGTGGAGAGCATCCAGGAATCCAACGCTGGTGACGGAGACCTCTTGGGCAGTTAGATGGTGCCAAGGGGGGGAGCTGCCTCTCAGAGCCAGAGCCACCGAGGACCACGTGCTCCCCTGCCGGTTCCCCCCCCCCCGCCGCCCCTTTTCTTTGATCAAAGTCACACCAGGGTGTTTCAGGGACTTGAAAGACCGCCCCATGTGAACTTTGACCTGGACTGGTTGGGGAGGGGGACGGTAGAGGAAAAGCAGGTCCCAAGAGTGGGTGAAGGGCAGTCCGTTGCGTTGCCCACCCCCAGGGACCCTCGCTATGGATGGCTGTTGACAACGGTCACGGATGCGCAAAGGGGTAGTAGGAACCTTCCTTTCTCTCCTCTTGATGGGTTCAGGCGGGGGGGGCCTCTGGGGGACCACAAAGGCCGCCGGACCTGGTGCGCTCGGCTGATTTCGGACCCTCACCACTCCTACTGTACTTCCTGAAGTTTCATTTTTTTTTTAATTTATTTTGGAAAGGGGTGGAAGCTGGCCCATCCTGATGGAAGATGAGTTTTAAATTATTGTTGTCATTTTTAAGTTGGTTTCTGCTTTTGTTTAAAATTTTCAGGGGTCTCTGTGAATATTCAGGGCAGAAAAGTAGTGAGATTTCTGGTCAGCCCCTCTCCCTTAAAAGAGCAAAAAGGGGGAATCCTCAAGGTCCTTAAATTCTTACATTAGCTGCAATTCGGTCAATTTGGTGCTCCAGACTCGTTTTTCAGCTTCACAAGCTGCTCTTCTGCTAACCAGGTTTGTTTAGTTGAGGGAGCTTTTCCTTTTTTGAAATCCAATATTTCCCTTGAAAAGAGGAGTTTTGACTGACTTCCTGCTCTCCCCCAAGAGAGAAATTTGTTACCCAACATCAAACTCTGACTTGTTGCCCACGGCTTGAAGGAGATCTAACTCGTTCGGCTTTAAGGGAACGGCCTGCATTTTGAATCTCTAAACTTACTATATCGGTTTTGGGAAAATAGATCCCAGAGAGATTTGGGGGTCTATAGAAATGCAGGTGTTCCACAAATGAATGCTTAATACCTGTGTGGAAATGATGTCATAAATATGACCGGTTAAAGATAAAAAACGTGGGGATATTTTTTGCAACCTAAATTGCGGTGAAGCCGTTCCTTCCACCAGGGAAGGAAATATTTTCTGCCTGCCAGCTGGGTGTTCTCCACCTATATCAGGGGTAGGCAACCTCGGCTCTTTTATGACTCGTGGACTTCAACTCCCAGAATTCCTGAGCCAGCTTGGCTGGCTCAGGAATTCTGGGAGTTGACGTCCACGAGTCATAAAAGAGCCGAGGTTGCCTACCCCTGACCTATATGCATTGCTGGGGTTTGGAAATTTAGATTGTGCTATGAAAATTCAGAGTTTGTTTTTTTTTAATTTGGGGTGGGGGGAGAGTAGGAGGGAAGCCACAATCTGCAGGATTTTTTAACCACCTTTTTTAACCAGTGGGTGTTTTTCATTAAAAATACATATCAGGGGAAACATCCGGGATTAGAAATTGAGTTTGAAATTGGCCGGAATTCTAGCTGGATTGGAAATAAAATTAGATGTGATTTTTTTTTTTTTTTTTTTTACACATTGCCATTGACACAACTTGCACACCCGGCTGAGCTTATGACCCGAGTGTGCAGGAAAAGGGAGGCCCTTTTCTCAAGATGTTGGTTTTGATCACTCCTTGAGACAATTATCCCGAGAATAAGTTCCCCCATCGGAAGAAATGAAAAAAAAAGCACAAGAAGCAATTGTGCAAATTGTAAATGGGGTCTCTCTCTCATCCTTGTGCAATTAAAAAAACAAAATCACCACTTCTCTTTAAGCTGCTATTCTGGTCAGTTCCATCCCAATTTCTGCGAGGAATAAATGTGTGAAAAGGAAGAGCCCCCAAATCCTTCAGCTTTCTCTACAAAACCGCCCTCCGATCTATTTTTCTCTCGCTTCAGCCCGTTTTTAAAATTCCTTTTCAGCCCTTAAAAGGAGAGAGATTTTTCTTTTACTGATTTAAAAAAAAAAAAAAAAAAAAACCAACCTCCTGCTATTCTGACCAGTAACACCTCTTAACAGAAAAGGTTAAAAAAACAACAACAAAGAATGTGCCACGAAGGACTTTTTTTTTAAAAAAAAAAGAAAAAGAAAAATAACACAGGAGAGTGATTTTTTTTTTAAATAAATGTATATGAAGATAAAAATGGTTTATTGTTTTCCCGTTGATTTAACTTGTAAAAGAAAAAAAATGGACCAGAAAATGTTTAATTAAAGATATGAAAAGCAAGAATGCGTGTCCACTTTGCTGGGGGAGAGGAGGTGCAGAGCGTTGGGTTGACCCCTCCCCCCCCGAAGGCCGAGGTAGAGGAGGAGGACGCTGGGGTCAGGATCCAAACTAGGTCTCCTCATCGGTGTTAGAAGCGAATGGGGTTGGGATTGCGGGGTCCTTGGTGCTCTCTGAGTTTCGTGGTTTCCTTGCAGACGTTTCATGACCCAACTGGGGAACATCATCAGTGTTAGAAGGGTTTGCAGAGAGGAAGAAGAGGAGGAGGAGGAGTCCTTGGTTCTCTCGGAGCTTGGTTGTTTTCTTGCAGACGTTTCATGACCCAACTAGGTAATATCATCAGTGCTAGAGCAGAGTGGAGGAGGAAGAGAGAAGGAGGAGGAATACTGTGGGGTCCTTGGTGCTCTCAGAGCTTGCAGACGTTTCATGACCCAACTAGGGAACTTCATCAGTGCTAGAACAGAGTGGAGGACGGAGAGAGGAGGAGGAGGAGGAGGACTGGGGGGTCCTTGGTGCTCTCAGAGCTTGCTTGTTTCCTTGCAGACGTTTCATGACCCAACTAGATAACATCATCAGTGTTAGAGGGGAATGGGGTTGGGAGAAGGAGGGCTGGCAAGCAGCATTTGGAGGACGCATTGGAGAGAGAAGAGCGCATTGTCTGGGAAAGGCCTGGATGTCTGGTCCCTGCAGATCCAGGCTTGGGAGTTGATCCTTCCCCGAGCCGCGGGTGCGCTTGTGGGGAGCATCCGGGCCCTTGGCAGTGCAGAAAGCCCTTGGCCTTTGCCCTCGGGCCTCTCGCGGGCCTGTGAAGAATGGACGGCCAGGAAAGAGCCCTGGCAAGACAGGGCGGAGGCTCGGCCACAGCACCGGTGCCCGTGTGTGGCTACCCACAATGCCCCTAGGTGGGAGCAGCCTGCAGCATGGTGAAGCCAGGAAGTGCACGAGAGCAGGGCCCAAGTGGCAGTGCCAGTCAAAGGCTAATCAGATGTTTGGATTGCTGCAGTCAGAAGAGCCACAGGCGGAACCAGCGGCCTGCGCTTCGTCCCGGACACGGAGGTGGCATTTCAAGCAGCCTGACCCGCAGGTGATCCGTGAGCCCTGCAGTGCTCCTTTGCCTTCGGTTCATACGAACATGGCATTATGTCTTGTATCTGAAATCATTTCACAGGCAGTCCTCGACTTACGACAGTTCATTTAGTGACCATTCGAAGTTACAACGGCACCGGAAAAGTGGCCTAAGGCCATTCTTCACACTTAGGGCCGTTGCAGCATCCCCAGGGTCATGTGATTTACATTGGGATGCTTGACTCACAGTTACGGCGGTTGCAGTGTACCCGGGCTCACGTGAGATCCCCATTTGCGACCCTCTGACAAGCAAAGTCAATGGGGAAGCCGGATTCACTTAACAACCGTGTTACTGGCTTAACAACTTCAGTGATTCACTCAACAAATGTAGCAAGAGAGGTCGTAAAATAGGGGAAAACTCACTTAACAAATTTCTCAGCAACAGAAATTTTGGGCTCCATTGAGGCCGTAAGTTGAGGACTGACTGCCTGTGCCTTTGAAATAGGCTTGCAACTTTGAGACGATGTGGCGGGTCCCATTGCTCGTATGCAAAGAAGCGGATGGGGGCTTTTCTCTGGTGCCAGACCCTCACCTTCCACTCAGGGGTCCCGGGCTACTTTGCGGGCCTCACAGCTGCCCCTCTGTGCACCACAAAGGACATTCCCCTTTTGACTGATCCATTTGGGGAAGGCAGTCTGTCCTTTCAATTAACGAAATATTTTTCAAAGAAGCAAAGCATAATAATAATAACAATGATAAAGTTGGAAGGTACCTTGGAGGTCATCTAGTCCAACCCCCTGCTCAGGCAGGAAACCCTATACCATTTCGGACAAATGGCTGTCCAGTTTCTTCTTAAAAACCTCCAGTGTTGGATCATTCACCGCTTCTGGAGGCAGGTTGTTCCACTGGTTAATTGTTCTCACTGTCAGGAAGTTTCTCCTTAGTTCTAGGTTGCTTCTCTCCTTGATTAGTTCCCATCCGTTGCTTCTTGTCCTGCCTTCAGGCACTTTGGAAAACAGCTTGACTCCCTCTTCTTTGGGGCAGCCCCTGAGAGATTGGAAGGCTGCTATCATGTCCCCCCTCGTCCTTCTCTTCGTTAAACTAGACATCCCCAATTCCAGCAGCCGTTCCTTGTATGTTTTAGCCTCCAGTCCCCTAATCATCTTTGTTGCTCTTCTCTGTACTCTTTCTAGAGTCTCAGCATCTTTTTTACATCGTGGTGACCAAAACTGGATGCAGTATTCCAAGTGTGGCCTCACCAAGGCATTTGGGGGAAATTCTCACAGGAAGAGTGTGGTGTCTTAGAGATAGAATTGTAGAGTCAGAACTGTGGAGCTGGTACCTTGAGGATCATCTAGTCCAACCCTGGGGGAGTCGAGTGTCCTGGCCTCTGTTAGGTCATCCCACTCCAGGGGCTGTAGCCTCCCTGTTTCTCATGTTTCTTTCCATCTCTCCCAGAGAAGAAATGGGGAAGGGAGTCTTCAGTATTTTATTTTTCAGGAAGTTCCAGGCTGGAGACTAAAACATAGGAAGAACGGTTGCAGGATTTGGGAATGGCCAGTCTAGAGAAAAGAAGGACTAGGGGGGACATGATAGCAGCCTTCCAGTATTTGAGGGGCTGCCACAAAGAAGAGGGGGGTCAACTTATTCTCCAAAGCACCAGAAGGCAGGACAAGGAGCAACG